TGCAATTACAGCAAGATATTCTAGCATTAGATGCAAGAAAGATTTTTTCCCATATTATACTCTAAAGGTTTACATTGACTTGCATCGAAAAAGCTGCTGAAATTCTTTCAAAACTCCCAGTACAATTCCCTGACTATGCAGAGTATAGCAACATATCAACAGTCTGATACATGTCCGGAGAGTCTTTTTCATATCTAGTGATTATAGCCCCTCATCTGCCTAGACAACAATGTCTACAAGCATAAGGAAGTCTATATTGGCAGGGGCAGGTCAGTGGGGGGATTAAAAAATTTTTACTACCGATTCTGTGGGTGTGGCTTGGCTTGGTGGGCGTGGGATGGGAAGGATACTGTAAAATCTTCATTCCCTCCCCACTCCAGGGGAAGGTTACTGTAAAATTCCCATTCTTTCCCTATCAGCTGGGACTCTGGAGGGAGAGAATAGATGGGGGCGGGGCCAGTCAAAGGTGGAATTTACTGGTTCTCCGAACTACTCAAAATTTCCACTATCAGTTCTCCAGAACAGGTCAGAACCTGCTGAATACTACCTCTAGGTCACACAACCTTCCAAAGTGGTTGAGGAAAAACTAGACTGATGCTAAGAGTCTACATGAGACATTTAAATCATCATCAGAAGAGATCCATATTCACTACTTTCCTGGCAACATAAAGCTGATTTACCTCTTGGACAGTATACATCTGGAGCCCATTGGTTGCATTCGTAGTTATCTACTGCTTGTTCACAGGTAAAACATTTGAATCCACCAGGGTACGGAGTTGCTGAAAAATGCAGATGTGACCATAACATCAGTTACAAGGTTAACTGGAACATTTTTCAAAAAAATATATCAAAGGACACATATATTACAGAAATAAAGCTCACTGCATAGACTTTTCACATATTTAAAAACAAGTTCAGCCTTATTGGCAGAAGAACCTGAAATGTTGATTCAGCACATTTTTTTTACCAAAAGTCTTTGTATGTATGTATGTACGTGCGTGTGTATATACATATCTGTGGTTATGTTATCTTAACAAGACTCTCATTGAGATAAGTAAAACGTTTAACATTTAAATCAAGATTCTGAAGAAGTCAATGAAGTAGATTTGGATACTACATCTTTCACCATTGTTTGGAAAAAATAATAGAAAGAAACAGGATAGGTTGTGAAAAATAAATGTGTTAACATAGTTTGCTTTCTCTATAGAATCTCAGGATAGCTTACACAGTGATCTTATTTTATCCCAAGATGTCTTATGATGCAAGTTGGACTAAAACTGTAATCCAACATATTAACCACTATATCACACTGGCTCCAAAATGTTGGTCTAATGGTCAGTCAATAATAGCTTAAACTAGTTCACAGCAAATCCGGGACTTCTTTTCTTTTTTTTCTTTCTTTTTTTTTTTTAAATATATTTTATTCATTTTTCACATTCCATTTACAATCACTTATATACAGGGTATTTACTATAAGAAAAGTAAAGAAAAAAGAAAAGAAAGGAAAAAGGGAATAAAACGAACAAATAAAAAG